TTAATATTTTAAACCTTAACCCCTTAACCGATGATTTCTTTTCTGATTATACATCTAAGCGTCAGTCATTTAACGTTTCTGTAGTGTATCAGCCAGCAAAAGTTTATCTGTTATAGATTAATTACATTTAGTAATCCTCAGTGTTAGAAATTAAAACGAAAATTAAGGTTAACAACGAATTTTTCTTATTAATATAACCAGTTTTGTCGTATCTTGAGTAGAATTTCTGTCACGAGTGTGACTCGTTGTTATAACATTTAATACTTTGAAACTTAATATTTTACAACTAACATCACGCTGAAATACTGAAACAAAGGCAAACTGCATTTAGTGCTATTCGAACCGCAAAGGGTTAAACGCCCGGTCTCACGTAGTCCGTCCTGCACATCTACATATCAGAATCGAATAAAACGTTTCCCTAGATGTTTGCCCGTAGAGATCGACGGATCGTAGGAAAAGTAGGGAAGATGGTAGGCGCGGGCGAGCTTCCGCCGCGGGTATTCTTCGAATCGCTGACTTTCGTGATCCGCGATACTGGCCGTCCGGTTCGTCATCTCGTTCAGTCGTTCACGATCCTTCTCCCGTCTTACTTAACATCCCGGCTGCTCTGCTGTACCGTTACTGAAGTCACGATTCTAACTTCTTACTAGCTCTTCTCCTCGAAGAAATCCGCGCGCAACAGTGCGGCCAGTCTCGCGTGCAGTGGCGTAAAAGGTGTGTCTGTGTCTTCTCTTTCACTATCGTTCTATCTTCCTTTTTCATTCTTCTCTTTTCGAGAGGAACAAGCTGTTATTATTATTACTTTTCTAAGAGGATCTTCTTAATTTTCGTTTGTCACGGGGCGAAGAGGCCGCGAGGCGATTTCGTTACGAGAGTCCCGGGTCGATTCTTCCTCGAGTCGCGTTAAGTAATCGTCTCCAGGTGAAATGTAAACCGCTTCGAATTTGGCCTAAAGCGAAACACCCCGAAGCGGTGGAATCGCGAGCGCGCGTGAAAGGGCGAGCCTCATAAAAGAAGCTGCATCTCGTTCAGTTCCGACACTCCGAACGTTCTAATCCGCCTACGACGTGTGCCAAACAAACGTTTCGAAACTGTTCCACGGTGGTGTCACAGAGTTCTCAGTCTCTTCTCGGGAAGATCGTTTGTGGAAGTCGAGTTTGTTTCCGGAAACGGTGGTTAATTTTCGTTTCGTGACAGTAGGGCCAGAGGTGAAGAGATCCAAGAGTCTCCGGTAAATTGACTCCGACAATTGCCGCCGCCTAGGGCGAATGGAACAAGTCGGCACGACTGTTCAGCGATTAAGGACATGTCACTCCGTCGACAAATGTCGCCGTTCAATTCTTCCGCTCTGTAGTGCTCCCGCTTTTTCTTCCTTTCAGACGTTCTTTCGAAGTGTTTGATACAGTTGCTCGTCCTGTAAAGAAATTGCTACCGAAGTGTTCAAAATTGAGTGTTTCGAATGGGAAAGCTGGTCAGAATTATTTCAATAAGTTTGGAATTTTATCACGAAACTTTGAGAGTTACATTTATCACCAATTTTTAAATAATTTTTGCTACAGGAATGCTAGGTTTCTGACAGATTTTGCTCACAGAAAATTCAAAACAACAGCGATTGTGTTTCAATAATAACAGAAAAGAAGAAATAAACAAAAATCCATTCTATATGGCCTTCTTCTTCTACTTAAGTTCTGACGTCACAATAATAGCCGCTACAATGCTTCACTTCAATAACATTGCAAGAAAAGGAACAGTTTCACTACGAAACGTTAACTTCAAAAATTTACAAATTTTTCCCTGCAATTTAAATAGAACGTTCCACCGTGAACCGGGTCAAAAGTGACCCACAGCGACTTTCTCAACCACGATCTTTACGTAACAAAGCCGTAATTGAAAAATCAGATCCATATCGATCCAAATTACAAATCTACAAGCAAACAGAAAGTCGGATACTATCGAGCGATAATACTCACCAGTATCGAGCGTTCACTTCACTTGGAAAGTCGCAGAACTAGAGTTTTCACCCGACCGTCCGTTCTACCGCCGAACAACCAACGTTCGAACCAGTCAAATGTGAACCTACCAAAATGACACCCTCTTGACATTAAATTCCCTTATCTCCTTCTCGTTGCTATATTTGTAGCGTGACGCGCGGCTCGAGTAACTAGCAAACACTTATGCAGCGTTTGCGTAATCGTCAATTTCCTTCCCGATAGCCGTTCTTTCTTTTCCGACGGTTCAAAAAATTTCGTCGCACCTCAACGCACGTTACTCCGTATACACGTGTGTAACACGACGCACGCCGCGGGCACGGTTATTAGTTTTAATTGCGAAAACCGGGCAGGAGGCGGTGAGTCAGACGCGAAATCAGTCAGGGGCGTGAAACCGTGTTGGCTGCCGACGATGGTCGACGAGAGTTCGAGCGGCTCATTTTCTTTTCACGGCTCGCACACGTTCCCGCTGAAACGCGAAATTTACGAGCGATCACGTGCCTAGGATCTGCCATTAGTTTCTACCTAGCTTCCAGTGGAGCCTACCGGAGCGGAAGAACTAGGTGTAGAGGGAACGAAGAAACGAAAGGGTACGGATTGATCAGACGTAACTTCTGCTTAGGTACGTAACGTCTCGTTCGATTTTCCTGGATCGTCGACCGACGGTGTGTTTCTCGAGAGACGTACTTTAAATACGAATTCCACGGTGTTTCCCGAGTTTTAGTGGATGGAATGGAAACAAGGACGACGAAGTCGTAAGTCAACTTCCGATTCTTCTGTTAGAAGACTCATTATCGCGGCACGTTTTTTTCTTCATAAGCCACTTCTCCGGGTAATTGCAT